ACAGGAAGATCCGTCCGGAAACGGCGGCGGAGCTGGAGACGAACCGTGCGGATCCAAGGGATCAGAACAGCAGGGACCTCACCCTTGGTGCGCAAGGGGAAGACCGTGGTGTAACGCGAGTAGTCGTCGACAACCAGCAAAAAATACCGCTCACCGCCCTGACCACGAACGCGGGCTGGGCCCCACACGTCCAGGTGGAGGGTCTCCAGAGGAGCCTCTGTCGGGGGGAACGAGGAGGAGTGAGGAGCGGCGCGCTGCCGCCCCTCGACGCAAGGAAGGCAGGGCGGCGCAGGCGAGGCAGGGAGGGGAGGGAGGGACCTGGGAAGACCGGACACAAGGAGGCGACGGTGCATGCCACGAAGGCGTGGCAAGGAGGGGTGACCCAGGCGGTGGTGCCAGAGAAGAGTCTGGTGCGACAGGGAACGACACTCACAGGCGTGGGCCACCAGACCTGACGCAGACACCTGACCGACAGCAGCTACCTGGGGAGACGCAGTGGTCAGTGTGTAGAGACTCGACCCCGGCCGACGGGTGAACGTAGCCAGGTGACGGCCAGTCCTGGAGCACGTGCAGATCGCCACACGCTGTCCGCCAGGGGTAAAGGTGTCAACCCACTGATCCTGGAGGACAGCGTTGCTCACCAGGTTCGTCGAGAACGAGGGGAGGTGGAAACCCGACAACGAGCCAGATGGAACCGCCGGACAAGGGAGGACAGTGGTGGACTGGGCAAGGACTGGGCCCCCAGAGGGGTCAGCCAAGGAGACTGGGACCGGTGCAGGAAGCGGTGTGAGCTCAGTACTGTCACGAAAGAAGCAACGGGAAGCACCTGAGTCAAGGGTGAAGGTGTGACAGGCCTCAGCCGGTGCGGTACCTGAGAGAGCAGTCTCTGTGGGTGCTGTACCTGAGAGAGCAGACTCGAAACCAGTCGGGACAGCACTGGAGGGAGCAAGTACACGGGGCACCATACCAGAGAGAGCAGACTCACTAGTACCCAGGGCAGCGGGCTCTATACCTGGGTCAGGCGGCACACACAAGTAACAGTCTCCCTCGGCACTAACAGTCAATGCATACATGGCAGCAATAATAGCATCATAGTCAAGAGCAAAGACATCAACACCAGCCCTCATGAGCTCAGCCCAGCGGGGGCGCTCAACATCCGCACCCATCTCCTCACGCCAAGCGTCGTCAAGGCGGGAGAAGCAGCGGTACGGGGTGTGGAACCTCCCACACGTCTGTCCCTTGCGGTCACCTGTGCGAATGACATAAGAACAGCGGGCACTGGCCCCCGACGTCCCACGCTGAGCAAGCCACTCACGAAGCTGCTGGGTCGTCTGGGGACGCTGCTGCTGCTGGGAGCTCTGGCCAGAGCCAGTGCCTCCACTCCGACCTCCGCCGCCACCACTACCACCGCTCCGACCGCCACCGCCACCACCGCCACCACCGCCACCGCCGCCACCGCCGCCGCCGCCACTACTGCCACTGGTCCCTCCGCCGCCCCCGTCTCCACCACCGACCCCACTCCCACCAGCGCTCCCGCCACCGCTCCCTCCAGCACCGCCTCCCCCCCCACCTCCCCCACCTCCTCCCCCCCCAGCGCCACCACCACCACCCTTGCCCCCCTTGCCCTTGCCGGTGCGGCGCCTCCCACCAGGAGTAGAAGCAGCGCCAACAGACTCAGCACCAAGGAAGTCAACAGCAGCAGCAGCAGCGTAGGAGGGAGCGAGGGGAGAGGGAGAACACCCCTCAAAGATGGGGGTGCGAGGAGCGCCACGAGCAGCACCGACAGCTACAATGCTCTTTTCGGCCGCGAGCAGGTGCTCCTCTAGGAGGGCGACTGTGAGCTCAGTGGGACAGCGAGCAAGGAAGTGGTCTCGAACTGAGCGGAGGGTGTCAGGGAGACGGGTGACTATGAAGTGGAGTGTCCAGTACAGTGGAGGGGGGTTCTTAGCGCAGAACTCGGTGGGAAGGGCGGCACGCAGGCGAGCATCACTAGTGCGAAGGTGGGTGATAAGATCGGCGACTGTAGTAAAGGTGGACAGATCGGGGAACAGGTACGGCAGCATGAGGCGGCTAAGCTCGGCTGTGGCAGGCGAGGAGTAGCGAGCGACGACAGCGTCGTACAGGGCCTTAGCGGATTTGCAGTCGCCAAAATGCTCTAGCTCAGCTAACGGCAGGTGACTGCGAATGGCTAGGCGAGCAGCTGCGTCACGAGTCTGCCAGTGGGAACGAACACTAAGCTCAGCTGTGGCAGGAGGGGCAGGCGCAGCACCAGACGCGTAGTCATAGAGCGACACATGCTCCTTGCTATCGCTCAGGAGAAACAGCTGCAGGTCATCTAGCCAAGCGGTGAAACGCACAGGGCGGCCCTCAGCATCGAACGACAGCACGCGAATGGAAGCCATAGCGACAGTGTGACAGAGTAACGAAAACTGCCGCAGCAGGGGAAGACGACTGTGCACGGATAGAGAGCAGCGGGCGAGGCTGGCGCTACGGGCAGGCGGCGCTGCAAGCGGTCAGTGCGACGGGAGGGCGACGCTGCGAGCGGGCAGCGCGGCGGACGGGCCGGAAAGCGGGCAGCGCGGCGGGCAGCACGGTGGGCGGGCGACGCTGCGAGGGGGGGGGGGCGCAAAGCGAGCAGCGGGCGGGCGGGCGGGCTGCGAAGCGGGCAGCGGGGCGAGCGGGCTGCGATGCGGGCGGGCCGCGAAGTGGGCAGCGAGCGGGCGGGCGGGCTGCGAAGTGGGCGGGCCGCGAAGCGGGCAGCGGGGCGAGCGGGCTGCGAGGCGGGCGGGCCGCGAAGCGGGCAGCGAGCGGGCGGGCGGGCTGCGAAGTGGCGGGCCGCGAAGCGGGCAGCGAGCGAGCGGGCTGCGAAGCGGGCGGGCCGCGAAGCGGGCAGCGAGCGAGCGGGCTGCGAAGCGGGCGGGCCGCGAAGCGGGCAGCGAGCGGGCGGGCGGGCTGCGTAGTGAGCGGGCCGCGAAGCGGGCAGCGAGCGGGCGGGCGGGCTGCGAGCGGGCGGCTCGGCGAGGGGCGCGCGAGGGCGCTAGTGAGGGGCGCGCGAGGGCGCTAGTGAGGGGCGCGCGAGGGCGCTAGCAAGGGGCGCGCGAGGGCGCTAGCAAAGGGGCGCGCGAGGGCGCTAACGAAGGGGCGCGCGAGGGCGCTGACGTGGGTGCGCGCGAGGGCGCTAACGAGGGTGCGCGCGAGGGCGCTAACGAGGGCGCACGAGGGCGCTACGAGGCTAGGGAACGGGGTAGCGTGGTAACCGCATGCGAGCGGTGGTGGGCCCTAAAAACGATCGGTAGGTCCTAGGGACCTCCTGCTCTGAATACCATGTCAGAATCACTAGGCAAGAATGATTGAACTAACAGGAGTTTGGGTACAAATATGAAACCCTAGTTGGGGTTGTACCCCATATTGGCTACCCCACTACAGCCTACAAGCATAATACAGTTTAACACATCTACTGGGCAGACAACTGATCCGACCATCCACCTCTCCCTACGGTGCACCAGTTCTCTTCACCCCAAAACCAGACGGCAGTTTGCGGATATGCATCGACTACCGCGCACTGAACAAACAGACAGTTAAAAACAAATACCCCATACCGCGCATCGACGACTTACTGGACCAACTGCGTGGTGCAACAGTCTTCTCGAAGCTGGACCTACGGTCGGGTTACTGCAGGATCAAGATGGCGGATAACTCGATCCACAAGACGGCGTTCCGTACGAGATACGGCTCCTACGAATACTTGGTGATGCCGTTCAGACTCTGCAACGCACCAGCGACGTTCCAGGCGGAGATGAACCACATCCTACGGCCCCTGCTGGACGAGTGCGTAGTGGTGTACCTGGACGACATTCTCATCTGTCAAACATTATATATGTTGTGTTTGTTTAGGCTACAGTGGGTTAGCCTATAGGGGGTACACAATTCTAGGGTTAGGTACTTGTACTGATTTCACTGTTAGTTCATTCATTCCTGTCCGTTCATTCTGACATGGTTTCAGAGCAGGTCCGTCACTAGGACCGTTTTAGGGCCCACCGTTACCTACCTACCTACCTACCGAGCGTCCTCGTACGCCTACGCGCCCTCGTGCGCCTTCTACCTACCGCGTGCGTGCAGCCCGCCAGCCACCCGTGTGCGGCTCGTCTTTTTTTTTAACGCGCGCGACCCGATAGCTGCCCGCGCGCGGTCGATTTTTCGCGCGCGACCCGCTAGCCGCCCGCGCGCCGCCGTTTCTTTGCGTGCGGCCCCGCGCGCTGCCCGCAAGCTGCTCGCGCGCTCCCTGTGCGCCGCTGCCCGCGCGCCTGTGCGCTCGCTGCCGCGCTCGCTGACGCGCCCGCTACTGCAGCCGCCCGTCGCCAGCTGCCGCCTGTGCGCCCGTGTGCCACTGCTGCTGCCGCTGCCCGCGCGCTGCTGCCGCCGGTGCGCCGCTGCAGCTCCTGCTGCCGCGCTCCCTACTACTGCCGCCCGTGCGCCATTACCGACCGTCAACCCCGCCCGCGCCTCTCCTAGCGGCCCCGCCGGCCGGTCGATTCCGCCTGCGTCCCACCTAGTAGCCCCGCCGGACCTATCGACCCCGCCCGCCCTCCGCATAGAGGCCCCGCCGGCCCCGTTGACCCTGCGCACACCTTTCAAGCGGCCTTGTTACTACTGCTACTACTGCTACCACTACTGTTTCTACTACTACTGCTACTGTCACTATGGCTAGTCCTACCGTACTCGCTTTCGATGCCGAGGGCCGTCCAGTGAAGTTCGAAACCTGGCTAGATGACCTGCACCTTTTCCTACAGCTCACTGCCAAGGAGGATATCTCACTGTACGACCACGCCCTAGGCCATGCTACTGCCCCTGACACTTCTGCTGACAGCACTCTGCGCTCCCAGTGGCAGACTCGTGACGCGCACGCTCGCTTCGCTATTCGCAACTCCCTACCGCTAGACGAGCGCGAGCACTTCGGCCAGTGCAAAACTGCTAAGGAACTGTACACAGCCGTAGTTGCTATGCCTGCCGAGTTCCTTGCTACCAACCCCCCCCCCCTCTGGCTCACTCTCTACCACATTGTTACCCGCCTCCCTGACTCTCTGCGCGCAGTCAGGGATTCCTTTCTAGCTCGCTCCCCTACTGAGCTCACCATTGCCCTCCTCGAGAAGGACCTACTTGCAGCTGAGGCGAGCATCGTCGCCGTAGGTGCCTCTCGTGGCGAGCCCCGCACCCCCTTCTTTGAGGGGTGTTCCCCTTCCCCCCTTCTCCCCTCTGTCGCCTCTGCTGCTGCTGTCGACCTCCTTGGTGCTGAGAAGGTCGGGACCGCGTCTGCTCCGAGCGGGCGCCGCAGGAGCAAGGGGGGCAAGGGTGGAGGTGGTGGCGGGGGAGGCGGGGGTGGTGGCGGTGGGGGTGGAGGTGGGACTGGAGAGGCTAGTGGCGGCAGTGGGGGTGGTGACAGCAGCGGCGGGAGCAGTGGCAGGGGCGGAGGCGGCAGCGGAGGCGGAGGTGGTCGTGGCGGCGGCAGGGGTGGAGGTGGCCGAGGCGGTGGTGGTGGCGGTGGAGGCGCTGGCGGTGGCCAGAGCCAACAGCACGCCCCGTCGCTCCAGGAGGCACGTGAGTGGTACTCGCAACAGGGGGGGGCGGGTGGCTTTACCTGCACGTACGTCATCCGCACTGGTGACCGCACTGGCCAGACGTGTGGGAGGCCGCACCCCACGCACCGCTGTTTCTCGCGCCTTACCGACGCTTGGCGCGCTCAGTTCCCTGGCGGCGCTGAGCTTCCCCGCTGGGGTGATCTGGAGAGGAAGGGAGTTGATATCTGGGCCTTAGACTTTGATGCTATTCTCACTGCCATGTATGCGATGTTTACTAGTGGAGAGGGTGCTCAGTACTTGCGTGTTCCGCCCGACCCGGGCATTCTGACCAGTCCGGCTGCCGCTCTAGGTGCTAGTGAGTCTGCTGCCCCAGGTCCTGGTGAGGCTGCTGCTCTAGGTGCTCGTGAGTCGGTCCCCCCTGGTACTGAGTCGACTGCAGCACTTCACACCTTCACACTGGACTCTGGTGCTTCTCGCTGTTTCTTTCGTGACCGCACTGTCCTTGAGCCACTCACTCGGCCAGTTGCTGTCTCCCTCGCTGACCCCTCTGGGGGTCCGGTCATTGCGACCTCCTCCACTGTCCTTCCTTGTCCTGCGGTCCCGTCAGGCACACTGTCAGGTCTCTACCTCCCCTCGTTCTCTACGAACTTGGTGGCAGGTCGTGCGCTCCAGGACGGGGGTGTTCACCAGTTCACCCCTGCATACGAGCGCGTGACACACTGCACGTGTGCTCGGACGGGCCGCCACCTGGCTACCTTCACTCGAGAGCCGGGGTCGGACCTGTACACACTGACCACTGAGTCCCCTCAGGTAGCTGCGTCTGCGTCTGCGTCAGGTCAGCTGTCCGCCCCCTGCTCGTGTCGCTCTCTGGCGCATGAGACTATCCTCTGGCACCACCGCCTTGGTCACCCGTCTGTGCAGCGCCTTCGAGCCATGCACAAACGGGACCTTGTTGCTGGTCTTCCCAGGGTTCTCCCTCCCCTCCCACCCTCGCCTGCTCCTCCCTGTCTTCCCTGTGTCGAGGGGCGGCAGCGCGCCGCTCCTCACTCCTCCTCCTTTCCCCCGACGACTGCTCCTTTGCAGACGCTCCACATGGACGTGTGGGGCCCAGCCCGCGTCCGTGGTCAGGGTCAGGAGAGGTACTTCCTGATTGTTGTTGACGACTTCTCGCGCTACACCACGGTCTTCCCCTTGCGCACCAAGGGTGACGTCCCTGATGTCTTGATCCCTTGGATCCGCAGATCTCGTCTCCAGCTCCGTGAGCGTTTCCGCTCCGACTTCCCTGTCCTGCGTCTGCACTCTGACAGAGGTGGGGAGTTTTCCTCTGGCCTCTTGGAGGCCTTCTGTCAGTAGGAGGGCATTGAGCAGTCGTTCACGCTTCTGGCCTCTCCACAGCAGAACGGGGTTGCTGAGCGCCGCATTGGCTTGGTCATGGAGGTCGCTCGTACCTCCTTGGTTCATGCGGCTGCCCCCCACTTTCTGTGGCCGTTTGCAGTCCGATACGCTGCGCATCAGCTCAACCTTTGGCCCCGTGTCTCCTTACCGGAGACTTCTCCGACACTGCGTTGGACGGGAGAGGCTGGCGATGCGTCGCGTTTTTGGGTCTGGGGATCCCGAGCTTTTGTTCGCGACACGTCCGCGGACAAGCTCTCCCGTCGCGCTGTCCCCTGTGTCTTCCTTGGCTTTGTCCCGGACGCGCCTGGTTGGCAGTTCTACCACGCCACCTCGCGTCGTGTCCTGGCCTCTCAGGACGTCACTTTTGACGAGTCCGTCCCCTACTACCGCCTCTTCCCCTACCGCACTGCCCCACTCCCCCCCCCGCCTCTCTTCCTGGCTCCAGGTGCTGAGGTACCAGACCCCCTCCCCCCTCAGGGTGCCGCTCCCTCAGGTGTGTCCCAGGTAGACCCGGGTGAGCCTGTCGAGGTAGCTGTTGACTCTCGTCCTGCTGGGGGTGCTGAGCCTGGGGGTGCTGAGCCTGGGGGTGCTGCGTCTGGGGGTGCTGAGCCTGGGGGTGCTGAGTCTGGAGGTGCGGAGCCTGGGGGTGCTGAGCCTGGGGGTAGTGAGCCTGACGGTGCTGAGTCTGGGGGTGCTGAGTCTGGGGGTACTGAGCCTGAGGGTGCTGAGTCTGGGGGTGCTGAGTCTGGGGGTACTACACCTGGAGGAGCCCTCTCCTCACAGCGGCTGCAGGAGCGGTACCTACAGTACTGCCGCCTCCGGAGAGGTACTGCTGGAGCTGGTCGCGGTGCTTCCCCTCCTGCCCGGGAGCTCCCCCCCCTCCAGCAGATCCGAGAGTAGTACATGAGGCGCTGCAGTCTTCGGAGTGGTGCTCCTGGTGCTGCGGACCCGGACGTTGGAGCTGCTGCTGGTGCTGCGGACCCGACTGGTGGAGCTGCTGCTGGTGCTGAGGACCCGAGCGGTGGCGCGGCTACTGGTGCTGAGGACCCGAGCGGTGGCGCTACTGCTAGTGCTGAGGACCCGGACGTTGGAGCTGCTGCTGGTGCTGAGGACCCGGCTGGTGGAGTTCCTGCTGGTGCTGAGGACCCGGCTGGTGGAGTTCCTGCTGGTGCTGCGGACCCGGACGGTGGAGCTGCTGCTGGTACTGAGGACCCGAGCGGTGGAGCTGCTGCTGGTACTGAGGACCCGGGCGGTGGAGCTGCTACTGGTGCTGAGGACCCGGGCGCTGGTGTCTCTGCTCCTTCTGGAGACGCTACGCGGCCACGACCGTACTTCGTACCGCTCCTTCAGCAGGTTCTTGGTCAGGCTCCTCCTCCTCGTCCTCCTCCCTCTGTAGAGTGTCCTCCGCCTGTCCAGTTGCAGTCACAGTTACCGCCTGCCTCGCCTCTTCCTGGTCCCTCTCCTTACACTGGTCCCACAGGAGGTCTTGCAGAGCGTCGTGAGCCTGCGTCTCGTCCTACGTCGCCTGTTCGTACTGCTCGCACTGGTCGTCGTGTCCCCCGTGAGCGTCCTCCTCCTGTCCCTGGCACTCACTACATGACTCTGCGTCCCTCCACTGCTCCTCAGCGTATCCCGCTGCCGTCTCCTCCTGCGTCCTCTCTGCCTACTCTTCCTGATCCGGAGTCTGACTCCCGTCGTGCTGTCAGTCCCACTGTCACCCGTCTCCTCGCTACTGTTGTCACTGACCCTACCTTTGAGTCCTCTGCTGCGTCTGCTCTGGTCGCTGAGTTGATAGACTTTGCTGCCCGGTGTCGTCTAGACTACGCCACTAGCCTTGTTGCTGAGTCTGAGTCTGAGTCTGTCTGTCCTCCGTCCGTCGGGGGTGAGTGTGCTCTTGGCACGGACGTCTTTGAGGACAGACAGGAGGAGTTCCAGTGCTTTGCTACTGCTTTGCCCCACCTCGTGTCCATGCTAGTTGCCCCTGAGGGAGACCCGGATGCACCAGACATCCCGACCCCACGCACTTACGCTGAGGCGATGGCGGGTCCCTACTCCTCTCAGTGGCAGACAGCCATGAACGCAGAGATGGCTTCCTGGAAGTCCACAGGCACCTACGTCGACGAGGTTCCCCCCCCTGGGGCGAACATCGTCAGTGGCATGTGGATTTTCAGGGTGAAGCGGCCACCGGGTTCTCCTCCTGTCTTCAAGGCGCGCTACGTGGCTCGAGGCTTCAGTCAGCGAGAGGGAGTTGATTTCTTCCAGACCTTCTCCCCCACCCCGAAGATGACCACTCTTCGGGTGCTGCTGCACATAGCCGCTCAGCGCGACTACGAGCTTCACTCACTTGACTTCAGCACTGCTTTCTTGCAGGGCAGCCTGCACGAGGAGATCTGGCTACTAAACCCTCCTGGCTTCACTGGGTCGGTTCCTCCTGGTACCCAGTGGAGGCTCCAGCGGCCGGTCTACGGTCTCCGCCAGGCACCGCGTGAGTGGCATGACACACTGAGGACGACACTTGCGGCTCTTGGGTTCGCTCCCTCTACTGCTGACCCGTCACTGTTTCTACGCACAGACACCTCGCTGCCGCCGTTCTACATCCTCGTGTACGTCGACGACTTGGTCTTTGCCACTGCTGACACTGCGGCACTCGCCCACGTGAAGTCGGAGCTGCAGAGGAGACACACGTGCACAGACCTGGGTGAACTGACAAGCTATCTTGGCTTGCGGATCACCCGGGACAGAGCACGGCGCACCATCACCTTGACTCAGTCACACATGGTGCAGCAGATCCTTCAGCGCTTCCGCTTCACGTACTCCTCGCCTCAGTCCACTCCTCTGCCTACCGGTCACTCGCTCTCAGCTCTGCCTTCGGATGAGTCCGTAGAGCCGAGTGGCCCGTATCCAGAGCTTGTGGGCTGTCTCATGTACCTGATGACCTGCACTCGACCTGACCTTGCATACCCTCTTAGCATCCTTGCACACTATGTCGCTCCTGGCCGTCACAGGAAGGAGCACATGGATGCCGCTAAGAGGGTGTTGCGCTACTTGTGCAGTACGTCGGGCATGGGGCTAGTGCTTGGAGGGCGAGACCGAGTTGTACTTACTGGACACTCAGACGCTTCTTGGGCGGACGACCAGGCTACTCAGCGGTCGTCTCAGGGTTACACCTTCAGCCTTGGCTCCGGCTCAGTTTCTTGGCGTTCTACATGCTCTTCTTCTGTTCTCAGCTCCAGTTGTGAGGCTGAGATCTACGCCACAGCCATGGCTGCCCAGGAGCTACGCTGGCTGACCTACCTGCTGACCGACTTGGGAGAGCGGCCTCGTTCTCCTCCAGTGCTGTACGTCGACAACCAGGCTGCCATTGCCTTGTGTGAGGAGCACAGACTGGAGCACAGAACGAAGCACATCGCCCTGCGGTACTTCCTTGCTCGAGAGCTGCAGCAGCGTGGTCAGCTTTGTGTGCGTTACGTGGCCACTGAGGCCAACCTTGCTGATGTGTTCACCAAGGCGCTTCAGCCTTGTGACCATCAGCGTTTCTGTACTCTTCTAGGCCTTGTGCCTACTGGACCTCACTTACTTACTTCTTGACTCTGCTTGTACTGTGATCTTTATATATATGCCTGCATGTTTACACTTGCTAGGTTGTGATCACTGTATCTCTTGTTATATTATCAACCTGCATGTGAACTGGTCTTGTGACCACTTGCTTGTGCTCGGAATTTGTGTGGCATCCTTGAGATCCACCCTGAGCTTGTTTTGCTTTGCTTTGACTGGTCTTGTGACCCCTTGCTCTCCCCCACTTTGCTTATGGGGGTGTGTCAAACATTATATATGTTGTGTTTGTTTAGGCTACAGTGGGTTAGCCTATAGGGGGTACACAAGAACATGAAGGAGCACGTGGAGCATCTGCGGAAGGTGTTCGAGATCCTGCGGAAAAACAAGTTCTACGTGAAGCTGTCAAAGAGCGACTTCGCACTGAAGAAGGTGCAGTTTCTCGGGCACATGGTGAGTGCCGAGGGCGTACACGTGGACCCGCGGAAGATCGAAGCTGTTAAAAAGTGGAAGGTTTCGGAGAACGTGAAGGAGTTGCAGCAGTTCCTCGGCTTCGCCAACTACTACAACAGGTTTGTGCCGCAGTACGCTAAGATAGCAGCGCCACTGACAGACCTACTAAAAAAGGACACGCCCTTCAAATGGGGTGCTCCTCATCAGCAAGCCATGGAACAGCTACAGACAGCACTGACCACAGCACCAGTACTCATCCTACCAGACCCCGAGAAGGACTACGTAGTTGAAGCGGACGCTAGTGACCAGGCAGTCGGAGCAGTACTGATGCAGGATCACGGGAACGGTTTACAGCCTATCGCCTACCTCAGTAAGAAACTGCACGGAGCAGAACTGAACTACCCCATTCACGACAAGGAAGCCTTAGCTATAGTCGTAGCCTTCAAGGCATGGAGGTGTTACCTAGAGGGAGCCAAGACCACAGTCTATACAGACCACTGCAGCCTCAAGTACCTGAAGTCGCAGCCGACGCTTTCACGACGACAGGTGCGGTGGGTGGATTTCTTGGAGACCCACTTCCACTACGACATCGTCTACAAGCCCGGGCTCCACAACAAAGCTGACGCATTGAGCCGCCCCGGTCATGTAGCAGGCATCCAGCTCGACGGGATGAACCCTCTGCTCAAGGGTCTATTCCAACATGGGTACTCCGTGGACGGCGAGATCGCTACAGCAGAGAAACAGAAGCTGTTACAGTGGGAGAAAGACTTAGCGGTAAGGAAGGGTTCAGGAAAGATTTGGGTACCGAACTACGCCCCGCTACGGCAGATCCTGTTAGAGGAGTTTCACGATGTACCATACGCGGGACATTTCGGGAGCAACAAGACGTTAGCGGGAATAGCAAAGTATTACTACTGGCCTCGGATGGCAGCAGACGTGCAGCAGTTCGTCACCTCCTGCGACACGTGCCAGCGGATGAAGAGTAGCAAGCAGAAGAAAGCAGGGTTACTTCAGCCTCTACCCATACCGGAGCAGCCATGGCAGGTCGTTGATCTCGACTTCATCACAGGACTTCCCTCGACCTCATGGGGAGACGATTCCATCCTCGTAGTCATCGATAAGTTCTCCAAAATGGGTCACTTCATACCGACCAACGCCACAGCTACAGCTGAAGCAACTGCTCGACTCTTCTTCGACCGCATCATCACCATCCACGGCATCCCCGCTACACTCATCTCAGACAGAGACCCAAAATTCACGAGTAAGTTCTGGAAGGAGCTTATGGGACTGTTGGGGACTAAGCTTGCGATGTCTTCAGCATACCACCCCCAGACTGACGGACAGACAGAGCGACTCAATCAGGTGGTTGAACAGTTACTGCGCACAGCTTGCAAAGACGACATCAGCCACTGGGATACACAGTTACCGACCCTAGAGTTCGCTTACAACAACGCCTCACATGCGGCCACAGGAAAAACTCCTTTCTTCCTGTGTTACGGACGGGAACCACTCACACCACAACAGCCAACCACACCGGCACACGTCCAAGCCGCACATGACTTCGTCACCACCATGCAGCAGCTATGGGAGAAGACTCAGCGGCGTCTCACCACGATGCAGAACTCCCAGAAGCAGTATGCCGATCGCCAACGACGAGATCACTCAGTAGCAGTCGGAGATCAGGTGCTTCTCGACACGCGCAACTTGAACCTGTCTCACCTACCGTCCAAACTCCGGCCTCGCTTCTGTGGTCCTTTTCTCGTGGAGGCACAGGTGACACTAGTTACATTCCGCTTGCGCTTACCAGATACGTGGAAGCTTCACAATGCTTTCCATGTTCAGCTACTAAAGCCCTACAAGGACCCCAACCAACAGTTCCAGGGACGGCAGCTACCGCCACCACCACCTGTTCTTGTGCAGGATGAACCGGAGTACGAGATCGAGCGCGTTCTCACTCATCGGCACCGCGGCGGCAAGACCCTCGAGTTCCTGATACGCTGGAAGGGATACGACCCCACTGAGGACAGTTGGGTACCAGAAGCTGATATGGGCAACGCACGCCGTGCTCTCAAGGACTATCTTGTCAAGCAGGGTGTATCTCACGCCACCCAGCTTTGAGGGGGGGACGTGTGAGAGTACGACGGCTTATGCTTGTTATTCATGCTTGCTCTAATTCCCTTACGCTATTTCTAGCTTAGGTTTATTTTCTGCATGCATGAATTGCTTGATTCCTAGGCTAGGTGCTGCTAGGTTACACCGAATTCGGAGCTATTCGGTTGCCACCGAACTGCTTTCTACCGAATTCGGGAAGGGTCTGTTCGGGACGCTTCGCGACCCGCAGAACCTTCGCGTAACACCTGGTTACTGCCCCTTGTGTCGAGCCTATATATAGCCTCGTGTTGTACCCAGGTGATCATTCAATTCGAATTCTCTTTTCTGAGCTCGATCCTAAGATCCTCACAGAGGCACTCGCCCTTGTGAAGTCGGAGCTGCAGAA